GGTACTTTAGTTCCTTATAACAAGCTTAAAGAAACTTTTTCTCTACATGGACTGATAGTATAAACAAAGATCTGTTTTTCTATGCTATTATATCATTCTTCAACTTATATCATAATAATAAAATTTTGATAATATCTGTTTTTTTTCTGTCATATGTGATGGTTACACTAATGTCTATTTAAAAAAAGGTCGAATATATTTTTTTTTTTGAATATCTTCTGATAGAAAAGAGATAGAAAGCTGTGGTTTTCATCGTTCGAAAGAGGAGATGAAGATGCATCGACTTGTATATTATACGATCTTTTTTTGACATGATTGTTTTTTAAGGTTTTAATCGATCTCTTTGAAAACAAATCTAACCTGTGAGATGTTTGCAACAAATTTTCAAGTGTTATGTGCATATTCAAATCACCAATGGAAGATTTACAAAATTGCACAAATCTCAGATGTTTAGAGTTAATCATTCAGAAACTATAGATATTGTAGTCGAACCTCGAAATGATTTTTCTAATCATTTCTGTGATAAAAGCATTTTTTTCTACTTTCTATCAGAAGATATTCAAAAAATATACACTCAACCTTTTTTTAAATAGACATTAGTGTAACCATCACATATAACAGAAAAAAAACAGATGTTATCAAAATTTTATTATTATGATATAAGTAGAAGAATGATGTTATATCATAGAAAATTAGAACTTCGTTTTTACTATCAGTCCATATAGAGAAAGAATTTCTTTAAACTTATTATAAGAAACTAAAGTACCTTCGCCACTACTTTTTGATTGCCATAAGTATATAATTACAACTAACGAAAATACAATTATAAAAATTCGAATCAGATCATTTTTTACATACAACGTAGATAAAAACATAATTAAAACAAAAATGACTCTTATAAAGTAGTTCACTGACACTATGATAAAAAATAAAGATATGATACAACATCGAATAAAACAAAAAAGTTAAATTAATAATAGTTCAAAATCTTATTGAATGATAGATATGACCACAGGACTTCTTGTTCTATTACTGTAAAAGATTATCATTTACTAACACGAATAATCATGACGAATTGATTGAAAAGATAATTCAAAGAATCTTACTAAACGATAGGAGATAGACATTAACCTCAATAGATATGCAACGATCATGATCAGATTTTCAATCAATAGTTAAAGATAGTTTTTTTTGGGAGTAATTCTTACTTGCTCTGTAGATAGTACTTACGTATACGAGTACTCTAATAATATTATTTGATGTGATTTGTAAAAGTATTATATAAGCAAATTGACAAGTCAATGTTCTTCAACCATTAAGTTACCGTATGATATGAATCCAACATGTAAGAGAATGTGAATGTCTGTTTAGACGGATCTAAATTGAATGCTGAGGAAAGTTATCAACAAATTTATTCTACATGAATTCTATTGTCTGCGCTTGAGCATAGTGTGATGTTGTCATTCATTGATTCAATGAAGCAAAACAGATGTATGTAGATGCCGCAAACGAGACTATTGCGAGCTTTACACTCGGTATCATTTACAATGGACATCTACTATTGACGCCATTTACATGAACAAGCATACGACCAAGAGTAAATGTCAACAAAAGAATTAGATAACATCCATTGACTAACAGCAGATATGCTGAAGAAAGACCATTTTGCTGAAAATGTTGTTTCTTTAAAAAGAATCGAGCATAGAGAGTATAGAATCAATTACTATGAAGAAAATTTTTAATGAGATGTTAGTTAACTAAGTATCTGTTGCAAGGAACATTCTTGTCTTGGTAGGATAAACTGTAATGATCTGAAAAGTAGAACGTATTATAATAGATTGATTATCAAATACATTTTCGATAATGTTACAATTAATAGTCAATAATAGAACATTAGTACTCATCATACTTACACAAAACTCCAGCTGACGCACAGACTATTCTTAGTATGCAATAACATATTATTAATTATTTTATGATATATGATCATAAAATATCCTTTGTAGTTAAAGGGAAGAGAAATAAAACTATGACAAATTGTTCTTGATATAATAATATTATTTATTTATTTCAATTCGATCATTATTACTTATATGATTAATAACTGTACATTTAAATGAAAAGCGAATAGTTTTTATTTCGTATATTCAATTATTTTTATTGAATAGATTTAAACACAGAAAAATTTCTTGTTCGATGTGAAATAAATTCGTAAACATAATATAGAAACTTTTGTTCTCATTTCCATATACATAATATGGAACAACTTACTGAATTCAAAAAGAATTTCGTACAAGTTTTTTTTGTTTTTAATCTTAATGAGAATAAAAATAAAACAAATAATAGTTATATATCTATGAAAAATATTTAACTTTTAGTCTTTTGACTTCTTAAGATTTTAGTTTCGTATTATACTCGCAAAGATGATTCCAAACCAGAGATGTTCACGACGTCGCAGCAGTGACACAGTAGCTTTTCTTAGTTATCGCCATGGTACAACAGCGTCAGATTCTCAGCCGTAATGGACATCTATGCTCCAAACAGACAGCAAGAAATATACTAATTGAAGCAATTATTACAGTCTTTTGTGCATGTAGCACAATGCTTGTAATATATGATGATATTCCTGTTCGTTTGTGTTTTGTCTAAAGATAAACAAATAAAGAATTTCTCAACTATAAATTATTCTTAAATAAAGAAAAAAAAACAATATATTAATCACTTATCTATTTATGTCATATTCAAAATAGCAAAAAAGGTAATTAAACATTTCTTCCATATGTCTTTTTCATAAGATTAACCATTCGAATGTATTCTCTACATACAAACATGTACTTAACTATGCAAAATGTATGAACAACAAAATTTCCATATTCAATTTTATATACTTCAATAATAAAATGCGTACCTCAATATCCGAGTATTTAAATTTGAATTGAAATCAACTTTATAGTATTACATTACTAAGAGAGAGAGAGAGAGTGATTAGATTTTATATAATTTAAAAAGGATATTTGACTTCTCTTTAAATATTTCAAATTAAATTGTCTATGAAAGTTACATAGAGGAGAACTGAACGATTTTTAAACATCATCAAAAACGAATATAAAAATTTTCGATTAATACATATGTCGAACAAAAAAGAAGAAAGATAGTGCAAAATGTAGATCAAATCAAGTAGAGAATGATAATGAACAAATCTTGACGATTTAATTAAGCTCGATGTCATCTACAAAATCAATCTCGCTCGATCATTGGTAGGATCGAGTTTTATTATAGTAAACTTGTAACTTCATTAAACTACAGATTTTATTTAGAAAGATCAGTCAATAGAGAGAATTAGAGAAAAGTTATAACTGAAAGACATTTCTGATCTACAAGTTTTTCGACTGTTTCTGTTACTATCACAATAAAAGTAATCATTAAAGATGACATTTGTTTTTGCACTGATACACTACAGTTCATAAAGTAGTCCTTAACACACTATTATTTAAATGAAAAAGAAACATTACAACGTTAGCTATTTAGAACTGTCTAGTTTTGAGTTTATGGTCACTTCCAAATTCATCGAAAAATTATCATAATTTTATCATGTCATTAACAATTACGAGAAAAAAATGCGTTTAACCACCCATTAACCTTGAGTGTGCATCCATCAGTTCTTATTACATGGCATGCGCGTGAACATTTGTTTGACTAGATAATTGAAACTCCAAATGAAATTAACATTAGCTTTTCATGCAGCACTAACCTAACAACTTACTACAAAAACGAAAGATCTATCACAAGAATTCTAACTATATCGTTAGGAACATCAACTACTACTGTCATAGCTATCATTATAGTCACATGGACTACTATTACAATGACCAGAACAATAGTTTCTTATTATTGGAACGACAATAATCATAGAAATAACAAAAACAAAATAATATCTATGACAACACAAACAACGATTCTTATTACTCTTCAACATCAACAAACGTCACAGATTCAACAATATCAATGTAAAAAAATCTAACAACTATAATGACTTTCACTAAAGAAGAAAATACAACTTTTACATAAGACGATGAACACTACAAATCTACTATTGGAACAAAAACAATCATAGAATCAATAAAAAGTACAACAAGAAAAATCAAAATAATCGAAATAAGAACGCCTAAAAGAATTTAAACAAGAGAAACTGTAATTATGCCTATACTGACTTTATCAATAATAATGGAAAGCCTCTTAAATAATATTTAAAACTAAACTAATAATAGAATCAACAAAAAAATACCTACACAAATCGAAACCGTCATTGAAGAGACGACTCCCATCGTCATTCAATCAATAGCAAAAGTCGTTACAACAGAAATAAAGTTTGCAGATGAAGAAAAAAGTCAAACACATCAACGAATAATCACAACATCACCGTTGACTACTGCAAAAATTTCGATTAATACGAGTGAAACTGAATGTCAATCAAAACAGAGAACCTACGATGCTACTTTGGTTTGAGACTTCTTTTTAAAAAGGATAGGAATATATATATTTATGTTCATATCTATTTTTATATTTATTACTATAATATCGAAAATGAAAATAAAATCATAAATAAATTCCAATGGGATATATATTTTAAAAAACATGTAGTAGTGGTTTTATATAGAAATACTCCTCGCGTCATTGACAGAGAATTGATGAATGATTGCTTTTATTTTTCATCTTTCTATTCTCATTTACAATTGTGTAAATATTTTATTGAATCGAACCGCGTCTAAAACATAGTTGACATGCATTCGAAAAGTAAAGAATGAATGCAAACAGACACAACTCACATCAAACATCTTTTTTCATTTAACTTTTATTTGAATAGTATTGAACATTTATTGATTATTATTTTCTTTTCATCAGTTACATGTTTATATTATTCTTCTTTCTCTCATCCTATATAAAATCATGTATGACTTTCTAAAAATTTCAGATTGAATCTAAATAATAGAAAATATAAAATGGCATCTGCGTCTGCACATCAAATATCTTTAGGCAGTTTGGCAGATATAACTGGTGAATTTAATGGTGGTTCTTATAAAATCGATCATCGTGATACAAATGCACTTCTTTCAATAAGATTATCAGCTAATACTTCATTTTATGCTCAACCTGGAGCTATGGTTGCTATGAGTTCAGAAGTGACACTCAAAGGTAAATTTAAATTTTCATTCAAAAAAATGTTTACTGGAGGTGAAATGTCTCAATCAACATTTACGGGTCCTGGTGAAATAATACTTGCACCACCTATTTGGTAAAAATTTCAATTTTATTGATTTTCATATTATATTTTGTTCAATTAAACATCAATATTTTTCCTTTGTTAGGGGTGATATAGTACCTATTCAGGTGGATGCTGGTATCGAATGGAATGTTGGTAAAGGTGGATTTTTAGCAATGACCGATGGTGTAATAAAAGATACAAAATCTCAAGGATTAGGCAAAGGATTATTTTCAGGCGAAGGTTTTTTTGTCAATCGAATATCAGGTGTGGGTAGTTTTTTTGTTACATCAATTGGTGCAATAGTACAAAGAAATTTAAAAGAAGGAGAACAATGGATTGTTGATAATGGACATTTAGTAGCATGGACTTGTCCATATACATTGGAAAGATCAGGTGGTGGTTTTATCAGTGGAAGACATGCAGATGAAGGACTTGTTTGTCGATTTACAGGTCCAGGAATAGTATTAATTCAAGTAAATATTTTTTGTTTGTTTTTTTATCATAATAAAGAAATTAATATATTCAATATATTTTATAGAGTCGAAATCCTGAAGCTTTATCAGCATGGATTGCAGGTCAGAGACCATCAGGCTAATTATTAACGAAGTTACATATTTTGATTTTTCATGTATTATTTACTTATCTTATGTAATTTATGTGAAAAATAAAATGCCAATTATTATTAGATACATCGATTCTCTGCAATTTTTGAATATTTAATAATATAAAAGTTCAAGAATAGTTCTACGCATGATAAAGTCTTTGAAAGATATTATAGAATAAGTACATGATAATTATCTTCATTTTTTTCATTTTAATTATATCCTTATTATTATGAAATACAAAATGACCCGTGTCTTTTTGACTTGATCATTAATATAACAGCGGGCTTCTTTTAATGGCGCATGCAAAACATGTTTATCTTTTATTGTCATTAAGAAAAAAAAATCTTGAAAGTCTTTTATTAACAGTCATATATACAATGTCCTATAAATATATTTCTTTTAATGAGTATTTCATCATCATCATTCATTACCGAACACATGCTTTTTACTTCCACTTCTCTGATAACATAATTAGTCTATAAAGTCAACTTATCAATCATAAAATCTAATTCATTGATCTACTTTTAGAAATGACATATGCTTAAAAAACTTTCTAATGTGTCAAAAACGTCGAATTAACTTGATTTTTATCTTGGATAATAGATGTCATGTGAAAATTTTTATTTATATAGAACGACTCAACAAAATACTTTTTAAGCTTTTTTACCTTTGGATAAAATACAAGAATGAAGTGTTTCTCACTTACGAGGGAAGATCCTCAAGTGATTCATCGTCTTTACGTCGAAACTATGTAGATTCTAATGAGCTATGATAACTCTGAAAAGAGTTGAAGCTGATAGCTTATTATTACCGAGATACTTCATTTTTATGGTATTTTTTAAGCACAAGTCTGTGATCCTCTCAGGATCATCAGAAAAACTAATTTTGGAATTTCGACTCAAAACTTTGTATAGTGACCAGTCTTAATGAGAATAGTTTATTGTAAAAGTTTTAGATATTTTGATTGTTCCTATCCTAAGATACAGTTATGGAAAATCATGCATGTACATCGCTCTTACTCATTGGCAAAAGCCACGTCTCTGCATTTCAGAAGAGGAGCAATCAGAAGATCTGAAATTTTTACAATAAACTGTTTTCATTAATCTAAGTAATCTTTTATAATTTTAAACAATTATCAGTAAGATATATAAACAATATTCTTAATGGATCTCTCAGGTATTGTGCGATTACTAATAATATCTATAATTAAACAAAGTGCACTTTATTTTCCAGATTTACTCGGTTTTTTTTAGTATAATATCGTCCGTATTTCTCGTCAATTAATTTAATGTTAACGTAGATGCACAAAAAGTTTAATATAAAAGAGAATTATGTCTTTCGATATAATGATAAAAGACGTTATTCTTTTTTTTGCCATTTTTCCTTTAACTATCCAATCTTCAGATCCGTCGGAAGGAACAAAAGGACGAAGTTTTCTTCTTTACAAGGTACATCTTGTATTGATAATGCCATCTCCTTCCTTTATGATGAAACCTTATTAAACACATCTTCGTATCTTATTTTTTTCTACTCATTCACATAATATTTTGTCTTGTTTGCTTACAGTAAGTTTAACTTATTTATTTTCAATCATATAAATGGTGTTCCACAATAACTGGGAATAAATTGTGAAATAACATTTTTCTTGGCATAGAAGGATGGAATTTTTATCACATACATATCTAATCAAGATCTTTAGTTTTCAGCTCTCTAACTAAATTTTTCTATCAAAATCCTCTAGGAGTTGAAATCCCCCTGATATATTTTTCTGTAAAACTCTCTTTAGAAAGTTTCTTTCGAAAATTTGACAGATATTCTATTCGATAGGGAATTTTAAGGGGTATCCAAATCAATATTTGGATGTGACCTAGTTACTCATCTTCGATGAAAAACTTTAAAAATAAAAGTGTCTTAAACTTTTGCGGTCCACTCTATATATGATAAAAACTTAAGCGTTCTATATTGAAGAAAAAAAAAATATGAAAAATATTGTTGACAATCTATCTTCAATAATCATGATAGATACCCTTTATGAATAATAATTTCAATCTGTTGATTGCAAGGATCATCATGATGATAATAAAACAAATTTTTCAGGTTATAAATGCAATAAGTTTTTCTCATCAGATCATACTGAATTCATTATCATATTGTAAATCTTGATAAAATATATTAAAATAATTCATCAAAATATAATAATCTCCATATATTATTAAGAACAGTACTGAGACATATTAAATTCTATGTAAATTATCAATCATATGAAGAAATCGTTTATTCTATTATCATACTTATAAGACAGTATTTTCAACTATAATTGCATTTTCTATTTCATATCCATAAATTTGAAATATGTTAAGAATAATTCCAAGGTTCAAAAAAGAATAGATTGTTATTTGTATGACTACATGAATTAATTCAATCGAAAAATTTCTAATTTTCTTTATATTTGAAGATATTATAGATAAGAATGTTACTACAGTTTTTTTTTCTTTCCTTGTGTTATTCTTGGTTTTTTTTTTATAAGACATTTATCATTGAATTAATGGTATTCTATCTTTCTCTTATGTTTACATTTTTGTCTATAGCTTCATAGACTTTTTTCTCGTTGAAATTTTTTTCTGATATTCTTTGATATTTTTCTATTTCTTCGAGACATTCATTGAAAGTTCTAACATTTCGAATGAGAAAAATAAAATAAAATAATTAATATATTTATTTAATTAAACAATGCGAGTAAAGAAAATTTTTCTATAGAGTATATTATTAGAAAAAATTATTTATTTCAAATGATAGAAGATATTTCTCTTGAATATAATCTAATGTATAAAAAGAAATTTGATCTATATGATACACTCTCTCCAAATTAATATTCAACATGTGCAAATATGCCTCATATATATTCTCGTCTATTATCTTCAAGGTCATCAGTATAAGCATTTCATTATAGAAATGTTCTTTTCATGTAGACAGTTCGACTGAATTGTATTTATGATTATCTGGACTACAAATATCTCTAGGAAAAAAAAAAAAAACAAAAAGAATATTTACTAAAACAAAATGTATTCATTCTAAATATTATTGGTTTTATTGCATCTTGAAAATAGATAGTAGCAGAAGAATCCAATGTTCTAGGTCGTGAAGAAAACAACATTGTTGAATTTTTATTGAAACTATGAATTCATATATCCTTATTATTTTAAATCGATATAGGCTATCGATTGAAAGCAATACCAGATTTAGATAGAGGACAATTGTCTTTCCGACTGAAAAGACTTTTCGTGATTTATTTTTAGAAGAAAATATATAAAACTGTGCCAATGGTATATCTAATGAACTACAAAATGTATTTGTTGATTATGATTGCTCACTCCAACGCTGAATTACCTTTTCTTACTAACGACGTTCTAAATGAAACATTGTTCGAAAACTATAATAAAAGTTGTCAGACTTCAACAGTACCAATGATATTATTATTAGTTAAAAGATTAGAATGGTCATCAATCATCTTAAATCGATGGATAGTTCCAATTACGTTTCTAACTGGTATAATAGGAAATTTATTTAATTTGATTATATTTACACGTAAAGATTTTTTAAAACAATCATGTTCTTTATATTTTTTGTCAGCATCAATAAATAATATAATTATGTATTTAACTGGTCTTTTAACTCGAATGTTAAGTGATGGTTTTCAAGTAAATATACCTGGTAGTAATTCAAATATGTATTGTCAAATTCGAATTTATCTTGTTTATACTATTTTTGCAATATCAAATTGGTTTCTTATTTTCGCATCAGTTGATCGATTTTATTCAACAAATCAATCAGCATTAAAACGTCAATATGTTTGTTCGAAACGAATGGCATTTAAATTAATTTGTTTAACAATAATTGGATGCATTTTAATACATATACATATTATTGTTTATTATAAATATTTATACTACGTTAATCTATATAACAAACAAACATTAATATGTACATCAGATAATAGAATTTATATTATATTTTTATCATTATTTATGTTAATTTTTTATAGTTTATTACCTCCATTATTAATGTTATTAATAGGCTTTTTAACATTAAATAATGTTCGAAAATCTCGTCGACAAATAAATTCAAATCGAATGCCAACATTAATAATAAGACGAGGTAAAAATCAATTAATTAAAACACTTACAGTACAAATAACTCTTCTTGTTATATTGACAAGTCCACATTCATTTTATTGGATTTATGTTATGATTACAACAGATAAATATTCAATTAAACCAAGTATTATACAAGAATATGAAAAATTTATTTTAAATATTGTCCGTATATTACTTTATATTAATTATGGATGTCCATTTTATATACATATGAGTGTTTCAAAAAAATTTCGAAATGAATTTATTAAAATAATTGATGAAATCAAAAGATATTTTAGATATTTATATTAAAAGATTTCTTTTCCCTCGTTTTTTGTTTTTTTTTCTTTCTGAAAATATTATTTTTCTTTGATATTTATCAATTTATTTAATGGAAGAATATATTGGTGTGTTGTCAATAACATATATTAATATGAGTATCTCTCAATATTTATTTTTTCAGAGACATTTTCCCAACAAATTGATTGTGGTGAAAAATTAACTATAATTATGTCAATTATTCTTCCATTTTTTGTTATTTTTTCTTTACTTATTTGTTGGATTATGAGACCTTATTATCCACAACAAGCATCAAGTGTCATTGAATTTCAAATTAGACAACAAATAGATTTTTCAAAAATTTGACAATAAATAAAGTAAAATGAACTCATCTTCTATTAGAATGATTTCAAAATAATTCTCGAAATATTGATTGATAATCATTGAAAAAGAGTTTTTCTTTTTTCTTCAATTATATTTGTCTTGATTTAATCGATCAAAGAATGACAATGATCTTATTAATCTTTGTCGTTTCATAATATATTCTATTTGAAGTATTGGTTTTTTTTCTGGGCAAACTTTTATAAGATAAGCTTTTTTGTTTTGTAGATTAAGAGAAGAAAAAGTGATTAGTTTTTATCATAGAAAAAAGAAAAGAATTGAATGATTAAGTTATTTAGAATAGTACCAGTGAGTAATATTTTCCTATTATTTATAAATATTGTTGATTATCATTAAACAAATATATTTTAATAAATGCACTAGGGAATGAGAATTGAAGTTGAGCCTTTAGAATTGCCAACAAGAAAAAGAAATGAATAATCATCATGCAATTCAGATAAAAATAAACATCTAGATAATGATCTATGTTCATCAAAAAAGCATTAACAGATCTAGCAGAAGACCTTTTCTTTTTAATGTTGAATGAAGCATCCTGCTATTCTTTTGTTGCAATAACGTTTTCGCCTGATGTAGTTTGAGTAGCTTCATCTGTTCCTTAGCAAAGACTGAAGAGAGAAAAAGAAAAAGAAAGAAACATTTTCTCATTTTATTCTGTAAATACTCAAAACCAACTATATTCTTTTATCATTTTTTTTTTCTTCTCTTTGATAGTTAGATCTACTTTTTCGAATAATAAAATTCCAAAGTAAATCTTCCTAATGTAAGTTTTTATTTTTTTTATTTTTTTAAGAATAATAAAGAAAAAAAAATACAGTAATTGAATAACGCATCAATCATAAGATCTTTAGGTTGGTTTTTTTTTTTGATTTGTTTAGATATTTGATTGATGACAGCTGTTCGATAGAGATGGTACATGCAAACTTCAGATTTATTTCTTATATCTAGAGAAATTAGATCTTTTCGAACAAAAATTTTACATCTATTTAAAATAATACTTTTTCTCTCTTTCGTAAAAGAAAGAAAAAAAAGCTGTTTTGTAAAAGAACCTTCTATGTAAATTACAAGTTTTAATATAACAAAAAAAAAAAAAAACTTGTCTTCTCGTTCTTCTCATTTTTCTTTCGTACTTCTGCCTGCTAATCATTCTTTTTTTCAGCATTGCCAACAACAGCAGAAACAACACCATAGAACGCTAAACATTTTGTGGTTTGACAGAAAAAAGAGAGAGAGAGAGAGAGAGAGAGAGAGGGAGAGAAGAAAGAAATGATATAGAAATGAGAGAAAGAAATAAGAGAGAAAAACCACATAGTTGCTGCATTCTGCGTTCTTTTTACTTCTGTGTCTTGTTTGGTGCTTTAGTGATCATAACTTGTGTGTATATGTGTGAATGAATGTATTCAGACAACGACTAACTGTAGAAGAAATTATTTAAGAATTCGAATCCTTGAACACGTCTTATATTGTGTATTAAATTTAAAAAAAATTAAGACATTAATCATATCGAATCACAATCGTCTGATTGTCTCAAACATTCCTAGGTATGTATATATTGATCATAGAGCATCTGTTGACATTTGCCTTTGTCTTTACTCAACACATCAATAATGTAATTGTAGAATATAGTATCATTCAATTCGATATATATTTATAAAATAACCTTTTGTCAATTATCTATATATAGAGCTAGTAGCGATATAATTATAATCATACATCAGTTATCTTTCTAGGGTAAAATCTGTGAATAATCATATAAAACAAAACAAAAAATGATGAGAAAATTTTTCAAATATTAATCACTAAAAACTCATAAAAAAATCCTACGATGATTGAATACAAATGAAGGTCAAGAGCATATATATATATATATATATATATGTATATATATATGTAGGTAGCATCATAGTATAATAGTTGATCAATTTATACATCCATATTAATCATTATGAAAACAGTAAGCATAGACGCATTCTAGGAGATTATGCAAATATTGTCTGGAAAGATAAGACTCACCACCATAAATATATTGAAACAATATGTATTTTTATATAGAATAGAAGAAGAAAATGCATTCATATGCTTCGATGCATCAATGGAGAAACAGATATAATTTAATTCTGAACTACTAGTTACTCTTTTACCATTAAAAAACTATCTATATATATATTGAAAATTTATTTTGTCTTTTTTTTTAAAAATAGAATATTGATATATTCAACCTTTATTTTTACATAGTGACCTTTTAGTTGTCGCATAAAATTGCTTATATCTTTTTTCATTCTCTCCAATGAAAAGGTAAATGTAACAATTATTTTACAATAGAAATCATTGTTATTCATATACAGTCACAAAAGAAAAACAAGGTCAATATGAAAATGACTAAGATATTAATAGTTAGGTTATTTTAAAGTAATAATTGTCGAATACAAAGAGTATTAAATTAAAACAAAAAAAGAAAAAGAAAAGAAGATTAAAATAAAAGTATTTAATGGTTAACATAAGAATAAAATGATCATTTCATCAAATTTGATTTTGAAATTTATTATATCGATATAATCAATGCTAGTTTAAAAAAGAAAATAGCAAAGTCCATTTAGATCTAAGATTAAAATATACTCTTGCTTGTATGTCAACTGTAAAAAGAACAATCAATTAGTTTTAATCGATCGGCAAATAGTAAAAAAAAACGAAAAAGATTCAAAGAATCACTATAAAGAACGCCACACTCAATATTCTCTCGGTTTTTTTTTGCGCAATTTTTACAAAAAGATTGATGAATGTGTTAGAATTCTAGCTGTCTTTTTATTATAAAAGACAGGAAAAAAAAGATAAGACTTGTCGTCGATATTGCATAAACAGATGAAGATAGTTATGAACTTCGCCTTTTCTTCTCATTTGATAGGCATATAAAAGTGCACATAACCAGAAGAGAATTGTTCGAATGTCCTTGAATGGTGATCGGCTTGCAACCTCGACTCCTTTTTTTTTCTTTTCTCTCTCATCAAATTAACAGTTCGAAGGAAAAAGAAGCGAGAAAAATGCAGCCTTATATTAGTGTGATTACACTGACTTTTTGTATTCTATTTGTAAGTTAGTATTGCAAACCAATTATTATAAGAGATAGAATGCTCAATCTTATGTGTGCGTTCTCATAACTCAATGAGACACATACTGTGTATATGTACTTATTTTCTCTGTTTATTTTGAAGGATTCACTTGCCTATTAGTCATAGAAGAGAAAAAAATGAAGAAAAAAAAAAAAACAAGAAAATATTTCTATGAGACGTGACTGACTGGAAAAAAAACTTGTGATATACTATATGAAACAAATGTATTCATTCTCAGAGAAATAAAGTGCTATTAAGAGAACAAGTACCATTTATATTATTTTTGGTCTTTATTGTTACTGCAGGTAAGATTATGTCACAATGTCAATTTATTTCAAGTTCATATTGAGTTTCTTTCTTTTTTTAAGAAGGAGTTTTTCTATTAATTTGAGCGAATGAATGTTGAATTAAAAAACATCGAAATTATTTTAATAGCTATTTTGCAAAGATTTTTATCGTAGAGATGAGAATAAGTAATAATCATTCATTTTCTTTCTATTTATATAGTATGACTAAGATTGAATATTTGTCCTTGATGTTTGACAAGTTTTTTGCTTCATCATTGATTTGTTTCGACAAGTGTTCTATCGAACAATCTCTTATAAAGAGTTTTTTTTTTCTTTTCTATATAGAATGACATCATTTTCTTTTTTTTTTTTTCATTGATTAGTTTATAGTTATTAATCAAATTGATTATGTAGCGGTATTTTTTTTTTTTGTTTATCAAATGTCCGGTTAAAAAGATAAGAATATTAATTTTTTAATTTTCATTAAAGAAGAATAAATAAGAAATAGTCGTCGGAAAAAAAAAATTCTAAATGATAAAGTTATTTCCCAAATGAATAAATCTGTGTTTTGTATGCCAAGGTTAATTAAAGGAAAAGTAATGGCACATTGCTATCGGAAACAAAAAGCAGAAAGAATCTAATATTAGGGTCAATGAAAAAAACTGAATACCCATCGATCCATTCTATCTGATTGATATTTCTTTTTTTCTCTTGATCTAATTGTAAGATAAAAATATATAAATGATCTATTGTAGAAAGAGACAAGTGGACATGCTTGTACAACAGTGGTGATGTACTACTTAGTCTTTTGTGGTGACTATGCCCTGTGGCTTGATCGTCCTCGATTGTCATCTATTCTTCATCGTTGTTATTCTCATCGAATTAGTCGCATCAAGATCTATTTTAATCGATAGAGATCAACGAGAAATAACAACGTCAACAAATAAAATAATGCATAAAGATCGAAGACATTCGATATTTGACGACAAGAACAGAGCTGTTTTAGGCGAACTTGTAAGTTTATTTAAAAAGAAATTATAAAAAACAAAAAAAAAGAAAAAAGACGAATAATTGTTTTTTTTTCTTTCAGCATACATATTTAAGTAATTATGGTTATTTACCTCGTTCTGATTTGGAGACTCGAGCAATGAGAACAGATGAAGAATTTCGTTCTGCAATTCGACGTTTACAAACATTTGCTTCAATTCCTGTAACTGTATGTATGATTAGGATTTTATATTTCAAATAATATTTATATTTGATTTTATTTTTCCTAGGGTAAACTTGATCAAACAACACTTGATTTAATTCGACGTCCTCGTTGTGGTTTAGCTGATTATGAACCAAATCGTTTACCACGTCCTCATACATATGGAAATCGTCGTCGACGACGTTATGTTTTACAAGGACAAAAATGGGCTAAAACATATTTAACATATAAGTAAGTAAAAAAAGAAAACAAAGTTATTTATTTCTTAAATAAATAAAAGTTGTTAGAAGAGTTATTGTTGCAAATGTAAATAATATTGGTTTGAATAATGTTTTTTTCGTATAAATTTGTTTTTTATTTTCAAAAATACATTGAAATTTTTTAATATAAATTTGATTAGATTTTAAATTTTTCCATTGTGTTAAATAATCATCATATTGATTTAATATTTGTGCATATTGTACAACAAGTAATATTTTATAATTTATTTTAATAGAAGTTAAATCACATTCAATAAATGAATTAGCTTGAATAAAACCACGAGCTGGTTGTGAAGCTATTATATCAGGTTGAGTTGTTTTTAATTTAAATATTATTGGAAATGAATTATCATTATAAAATTTTAAATTTATTTTATTAAATGATTCAGAAAATTTAAGACATTTTGAAGGTTTTGTACGTAATTCAATTAATTTTTCTTGTTCAGATAATGAACAATATGATTTTTCATAATAAATATTTGATGTTTTAGATTGTTGTGTTTCTATAAGAATATTTTTATCACCAGAATTTTTATTCTCTTCATTCGATAGATCATAAACACTAAGTGTTTTTTTATCTTTCCAGTTCATTGAAAATTAGAATACAAAAAAAAAAACTGCTAATAGAAAAATGAATGAGAATCTAACCGCTCTTTTTATTTTTCTAAATAGAATTATGAATTATACACCAGATATGTCTCATGATTCAGTTGATCGAGCTATTTATCATGCTTTATTAATTTGGTCTTATCCAAGTCAATTAAGATTTCGTCAAGCGAACGAAATGGAACATCCTGATATTGAATTTTTATTTGCTCAAGGTTATCATGAAGATGGATATCAATTTGATGGAAAAGGTTATAATTTTATATAGAATAGAAATTCATCAATTCTTCCTTTGTTTAGGCTCTGTTCTAGCTCATGCTTTTTATCCTGAAGAACATCTTGGTGGAGATGTTCATTATGATGAAGATGAAGATTGGACAGCATACAGAGAACATGAATATGGTTTAAGTTAGTATTACGGATTTTTTTTTGTTTAAATGCTTAATTCAAGTACTAGAGATGTAAACCTATGCGTAACTTCATAGTGAAGACTTTAAGTTTTTTTTTGTAATTTTGAAATGGAACCAATAGGAAAATGATGTTAAACTACATATCGATAAGAAATTAGACACGAAGACATTTATGAGAAATTAGAATGTAGGTCGAAAATTTTCTAAATTCTTTTATCTATTTTTATGTTTCGATGATGGTAGCTGAAATATTTAATAACTATGTTCGATAACAACAATAGCGTCAGTGATTCAGTGCGTTGATTTCAAGCGAAAAATTTCGTTTTTATCCTTTTTGAGACTTTCGTATCGATCATTTCCAGGATAGACCATCAATAACTACACAATATAAATATTCCATATATCTCTATTCAGCTTTAATCAATCAAACTGATTTTTTTTCTCGATGATAGACAACTTGTTCAAGATTTTATAATGAACCTGTTATATAGAGACATTCTTAGGATTAGACATGTGATATTTTTCGTATGTGTAATAGTATACTTTGGCAATATAGATTAGTGAAACTAGATTGATCTCATTCATTTGAGTTGAAAAGAAGTTATGCTTTATGACAACACTTCTCATTGTGAGTCGTACAAGGTGTCCAGAGAATGATGAAACAAACATCATAAATTCAATATCTTCATCGCGCTCTAATCAAATGAGCTGATTTTTTTTCTGAGAATAGAAAACAGTTCCAAGTTTTTGTTGCATCAATGAACAGCTTATTCATTCATATGAAAACAATACCACTAAATTCGTGCTAAATAACTAGGACGTCTCATATATAATACAACAAAACTAGTTCGAAAGTGGGTGTGAGTGTGGATCGCCGAATATATTTCGATCGTCTATGTTCGTGAGCTTCGTTTTGGTAATATAACTCTAAGGCATCAATCCTTCAATTCACTCTTTCAGAACATATATCATATAGATACACATACATATCTATACCACCTAATCAAGTATGGATCATAAATTACAATCTGATTTTTCTTAGTCACTAACCTGACTTAGACACCAACTCAAGCTAGGGACTAAACGTGATTTGATTCCTAACTTAACTTAGAAACTTATTGAAATTAATTATTTATATGACATATTATTATAACTATTAAGTAAAGTGGATTATTAAAGTTTAAGACACTTTTATTTTTGAAGTTTTTCATCGAAGATGAGTAACTAGATCAAATTAAAATAGTGATTTTGATAGCTCTTAAAATTCTCTATCGAATAGAATATATATCAAATTTACAAAAGAAATTTTCTAAAGAGAGTTCTCTAGAAAACCGTGCCAGGGAAATTTCAGCTCCTAGAGGATTTTGACAGAAAGATTTTTCAATATAAGTATCTCAAAGAGCAGGAAATTCTGAAGAAAATCAAGGATCGCCCAGCTCTCTACGATATTTCCTCACGAAGTTCTAAGCATTAGAAAAAACCGCGTTTTTGATCAAAAAAAAAGCTCTAAAATTCGATTAAAACTGCATTTTTTCGTTTTTTCTAATGCTTATAACTTTGTAAGGGAAATATCGTAGAGAGCTGGACGATCTTTCATTTTGTTGAGAATTTCCTGCTCTTTGAGATACTTATATTGAAAAATCTTTCTATCAAAAATCCTCTAGAAGTTGAAATCCTTCTGGCACGATTTTCTGTAAAACTCTCTTTAGAAATTTTCTTTTGAAAATTTGATATATATATTCTATTCTATAGAGAATTTCAAGAGCTATCCAAATCATTATTTGAATTTGATCTAGTTACTTATCTTTGATGAAAAATTTCAAAAATAAAAGTGTCTTAAACTTTTGCGGTGCAGTTCACAGTAAGTATCAATAGCTATAATAACAAAAGGTTTCTGTTGACCATCCTCAATTGCTAAGAAAAAAAATTAGCCATGTTGATTACAACAGACTGAAAATTTTCAGTGTTTTTATTGTCTAGTTATTTATAATTCACCGTATATATCTTAGATAGGTATCTTACTCCCCTACTTAACTTAAACAATATAAATAGATAGTCAGTGACACATCCTGAAATTCTAAGTAAAAAAAATCTGTACCATAGTTTAGCTTGATTGCGAATTAGTTTTTTTGGTACATTAAAAATTGATTAAAAGAAAATTTTTCTGTTTTTTGTTTTTATTTTAGTGGATTTATTCTCAGTAACTGTTCATGAATTAGGACATTCATTAGGTTTAATGCATTCAAATATCCCCGATGCAATTATGTTTCCCTATTATCGTGGTTATTCAAAAAGTATTAAATTACATAGTGATGATATAGCAGCTATTCGAAGACTTTATGGAGGTAAATAAAATAAAAATTAATAGAAAAACAAATGAAAGAAAAAAATTTATTTATTTTCTAGATCCTCCAATAGAAGTTATAATTCCATCATCATCATTAAATTCTGATGAAATAACACGAACAACAAATGATTATACAACATTACAATCAACAACAACAACAACAACAACTATAATTGAAACAACAACGACAACTTTAATGTCAACATTAACAACAATTGAAACAACGAGTTCAACTAATCCGATAACAACTTTAGCGATAACTAATCAAGAAAAAATTTATAGTGAAGCAACAACAACGATAGTAGCATTAAATCATTCATATGAAACTAAAGATCAACATATAACAAAATCAACAAATCATCGATTCCAATCACATTTCGAAAATCATACATTAACAGAACAAATTAAAATAAATTATATAGATCGATCAAAATTAGATTTATGTGATGGATTTTATGATGCTATTACAATGTATAAAGGAATTTTATTCATATTTAAAGGACAAGTTTGTTATTTTTATTCTTAAATTATATTTATTTTTGTTTTTTTTTTTAAATAATTTAGTATTTTTGGCAATATGATCGACGTGGTTTAGATGCTTCATCACCAATGATTAATAATGCTTTTTGGTTAGGATTACCAGAAACATTAACAAAAATTGATGCTGCTTATGAACGATCTGATGGTCGTTTAATGCTTTTTTCAGGTATAAGATCTTTATTCGATTGAGAAAAAAAAAACAATAAACAAACAAGAACTATGTTTTACTTTAGGTCGTCAATATTGGATATTTGATGATAATAAAATATCGATTGAAGAAGATGGTTCTAGTTATCCACGTAATATAAGTTTACTTGGTCTTCCAACACATGTTGATCGTATTGATGCAGCATTTTTATGGTCATTTAATCGTCAAGCTTATCTTGTTTCATCAAATCTGTATTGGTCATTAGATGAACGATGGAATCGTGTTAATACTGATGATTATCCAAGAGATATGACCATGTGGCAAGGAATTGATATTCCACTTGATGATGCTTTTGTTGATTTAACTGGTAAATATTAAATTCTTATTTAATTATTTATTTTTTGTTATTCAAATTTTGATTTTTTGTTTTTTAAAATATAGGTTCAACATATTTTTTTAAAGGTCTAGATTTTTGGCGTTTAAATAATACAAGTATGGAAGCAGCAATAGATTATCCACGTTCAATAAATACTGATTGGCTTTTTTGTGATAAGCCTCGATCTTTATCATCATCATTATTATTATCATTTCAATCGACTTATATCTTATTAATTATTCTTTTTATTATTCTTCATGATTCTTCGCTCTAAGCATCTCATACATTCTTTTATTTGTTTGTTTTTTTTTGATTTTTTGGCTTGTGTCTGATACTCATTTGTATGTGTGTGTCGCCGCCAAAATAGAATGTATCCATTTTTTTTCTCAGGCCACTATAGTCTTCATTGATGAAAACAAATACAAATATTAAGAAAAACGAAAATAAATATGAAATCGTGATCGTGAAAAATGAACATTTCGTAGACCTACATCGTTCTTTGTATTCTTTTTCTTTCTTTCGCCTTGTTTGTTTGTTTTTTTTTTATTCGTATTTCTTATTCTTCTTCACAGTACTCTAGTCGATTATTGAGAAATAAAGAAATTCTTTTATTATTTAATTATTTCTTTTTTTTTTTTACACAAGAATAAAAAATAGACAAGATATATAACATTATTAATTTGTCGTTCTATGTCGATTTCAGATGAAACTTTAATTAATGGAAATATATACATTTATCAATGAGTTTTGCAATAAACATTCCAAAGGTTAATTGATTTTGTTATATGAATTTTTTTGTTTAAATTATAGAAATATTGAAAGTTATGAAGAAAAATGAATCAATATTTATCTGTAAAAAAAACAAAAAAAGATGATTTTATATTTTATAGTTTTGACATTTTTATATGTACTGATGCAGGATTGAATATTAGAATAACAAAAAGAAAAACAATTTTAAGATCTTTAATAATAAAAAACTGAAGAGTAAAGGATTGAGACTTGTTTGTTTTTGTTTATATAATGGTTTAAAGCTAAAACAAATATTTGTTTCTTCATAAACAACCCTGCAAGTCATATTCTTTATTCTGAAATGTATTATTATTATTATTCATGAATGTTTCTTGTTCTTTTCTGAGTAATATATATCGGTTCTTGTTAATCTATAATTTTAAAAAGATTCAATGGTTTCTATTCTTTTTATAAATATTCAATTGCTTTATACTACAGTAGTGTGCAAAATTATAAGAACAGACACTTTCTTAGTATATTTGTTTTATTTTCATTTACATTTTTCCTAGTTGCAATGACTTTTGCATCTAGACATATGCATTGAGATGTGGTCTATCCAAAACTGAGATTTGATTTCCTTGTTTCGAATGTTAAGCTCGAGATACTGCATGTTTATTAAAAATCATGGTTTTTTGCCTGTTCAAAATTCTAAGAACAAACCAGTATTTTCTTTTTCCTATTTCAGAGAGACATCATTTTGATCCGAATATGATATAGATAGATAGATAGAGGAACTCATTCTGAACACTTTCATAAAAAAAACCTTTTAAAATTGGTTTATGTTTGGATTTAAAATTGGATTTTAGTGTTCAAGCAAAATTAGCTGAAAATGGCTGAAAAATGTCACTCTCGTGCACATTTTTGGCTACACAAACTAAAATGTAGTCGGTATCGCTTTTTTCAGATGTGTGATGTATAGAGGTGATTTTATGCTACAAAATGAAAGGTTTTCAAGCTTTGAAAGTCTATTTTCTAAAAGGATAATGGCATTTTAAAAACGAACACAGCAAAAAGTGTGAAAAATGGCTTGAAATTGTCGTTTTTTGCTGCATTCATTTTTAAAATACTATTATCTTTTTAGAAAACAGACTTTCAAAGCTTGAAAACCTTTCATTTTGTAGCGTAAAATCACCTCTATACATCATACATCTGAAAAAAGCGATACCGACTACATTTTAGTTTGTGTAGCCAAAAATGTGCACGAGAGTGACATTTTTCAGCCATTTTCAGCTAATTTTGCTTGAACACTAAAATCCAATTTTAAATCCAAACATAAACCAATTTTAAAAGGTTTTTTTTATGAAAGTGTTCAGAATGAGTTCCTCTATCTATCTATCTATATCATATTCGGATCAAAATGATGTCTCTCTGAAATAGGAAAAAGAAAATACTGGTTTGTTCTTAGAATTTTGAACAGGCAAAAAACCATGATTTTTAATAAACATGCAGTATCTCGAGCTTAACATTCGAAACAAGGAAATCAAATCTCAGTTTTGGATAGACCACATCTCAATGCATATGTCTAGATGCAAAAGTCATTGCAACTAGGAAAAATGTAAATGAAAATAAAACAAATATACTAAGAAAGTGTCTGTTCTTATAATTTTGCACACTACTGTATTTCTTCACTGTTAAATACCGAATTATGAGCACATATTATTTAATGTATTGATATTTAAATTTGTTCATTTTTCTTAGGTAATATAATAAATTATCAAATGAAAGAAACTATACAAAATTTAATGAACACGAAAAGAAATATGACGATGTAATGTAGTTGATTTCTTTTTTGGCAAGAAAACATACATTTTCGAAGAAAATAAAGAGTTTTAATTTTAAGTCGAAGTTTCACGGCTTTCCCTCCTTATCACAGACTTTACCAACCGAGAATTATAGATATCATGGATATGTAAAACAGACTTAATTTGTCAATTAATTCAATGATTACAATAATAAGAATATTAAATTAAGTAAAAAAAAACACATAATGAGTAAATAGCACCCATGCAAACAAAAAATAGAAAGCGTATAGAAAAAATTTCTGTTCGAAATGCATACATTAGACAGGTCCTGATTCAGATGATCGATTATCCTGCAAAATAACTATAGTTTACGAAAGATTTTTTATTTTACGTATTTTGTATAATGAGGCTAGGGAACATATGTTCGTTCCAGATTTCAGTCCAAAAAAGGGTGTACTAGTAAGTTGTTTCTTTTCATTTTGTACTTGTTGAACCCGGTTACACGTGGACCTCTCTCGTTTCTTTTTTCTTTTTCTTTCAGTCGTATAATTTTCTCTTTCTTTGCGTATATAAAAAATACATTATTCATTTCAGAAAAAATCTTATTCAGCTAAGAACAAACAAGTAACATGTCGCATTCATCGAATCAAAATGTTGAAGATCCTCATGCAAAAATGGCTTCAGAATCAGCACCACCTGGTATGAATTCAATTACAAATACAGTTGGTATGCATCCGATTACAAATGAAACATCAACACAAAAACCTCCATCAGATGTACGACGAGGAAGTTGTGATAAACCAGGATGTACTGATGACCATAGTGGAAAACCACATGAATAAAATAAAATCTATTCTTTTTTTCTCCTATTTTTTTAATGTTTGTTCCTATAAAATATTAATTCTAGCAATTTATTTGTATGTAATAAGCGTATAAAACCTTCAATTTGTTAATATAAATTCTGATTGGTAAAAAAAATGATTTATATTTATTTTGAAAGAAAGACGAAAAAAAATACTACACAACATAATTCCATTAGATGTCGTGTTATTTTTATATTATTATTATTTTCGAACGAAAAAGCTTTACAGTCAAATAGAATTCGAAACAAAAAAAAACAAACGAAACCTGCACTAAACAGTTGTTATTTATTAAAAAATCCACACGTGTTACTTGGATGTTTCGAACACTGAACGGAAAAAAAAAATGATTAATTGCCGATGATTATCAATGATTATTTTGATTGGAAATATTGAAATTTTAATTCCATTAAATTCCTCAAAAATAAATTTATAATATAGTTCATTTGAAGACTCTTCATAAGGATAACTTTACACAATCTATAGTGAATATTAATAACAGTCTTTTTAATTTATTTCTACAATTTTACTTTACATAAGAAATATTTATTGATATATGAGATAGAGAAAAAAAAAAGAAATAGTTATTTTTAACATTGTTTCTTCTTATCTGTAGATTTTCAAAATAAAAAAATAAATATGATGCAAGATCGTCTAGGTCACAAATGTATTAATATTCAAGTTTATATTAAAAATAAAGATTTAAAACTAAATAAAAACGTAAAATATTGTGACATTGATTGATTTCTAATAAAAATGTGTATTCGCTTTTTTTTTCTAAACGAATACATATTAAACAATATTTCATTCAATGTTATGTCTTATGCAACTTAGATTTTATATTTCTTGCGCAACAAATCTGTTCAATCAAGTTAATTTTAATCATCCAAATTTAACTAAATTAATGTTTATCAAATTTAGAATTGTAATTAATTGATAAAAGAATAATATCGATGTATTTATTTTACAATTATAAATTAATATAGAGATCACAAATAAAAGATGTATCAAAAAAAGAGTAGAAGTTTTTTTTTAATAAGAAACTATATGATAACAAGAAAGAAGCGTAGCGATAGTACAATATGCATAAAAATATCTTTACAGAAACTATCAAAACACTATAATCTAATAAACTAATGAAGAATGATGGTGACATAAATAAGTTGTAAATAAAGTAAATAAATTACGATAAATATATTGTTTCATTATCAGATAATTTATTTTGGCAAATCATTTGACAAAAAGATGATCTATAGTATTTTGTTTCGAAAATATTCATCAATACTCTTGAATAGTAGATAGATTATTAAATAATTAGTTATTGCTACTCATCATCGTGTTCAAGATTTTGAAATCGTTGACAATCAAGAGAATGATACTATTCTTCGTCAATATAAAAAAAAAACATTAAGTCAATTAATTGAAAAACATGATTGACAATTAAATAAATCACTAGCAGTTTATGTAGTTGCTCGTTTTATAACGTTTTCAGTATTATATTGACTTGATTCTCATCGTCATAATTTTCTTATTCGTTTATAATATGATGAAAAATTAATTACATATAATTCAATTCTCTGATCAACCGAGAATTTCACTTGAGACAGCTAATTTAACTGAATTATCTTTGATTGATGAAATTTTTGGACAAACATAGAGTCATACTTTTCTGGAAGGTACTCGTAATTTTCATGGCATTGTTATGTATAGTACTGTATTCAACAGAGCCAAACTTTATAATGTTGATTTTTCTTCTACTATAAATAGTTTGTTCTGTAGTGACATTGAACCGAAAAGTGTATTATTATATTTTGAAAAGAATGATCTAACATCTGCGTTGTTTTCGAAAGCTATTTATGACAATATTTCATTTTGAATCGACTCAAATGTCAAACACAAATTTATGTTATGTAGAAATCACTAAATCATCATTTACTATCTCTACTTTTATATCAGCTGAGATTCATAGTTTAAATTTTTATTTTTATTGATGCAAACTTTTTGAATTTGAGCATTGCGACACAGAATAAAATATTAACAGCAATTTTCTAAATTTTAATTTTTGAATTAAATATTAGTAATATAGAAAAGTTGTTTATTGAATAAGATAGTATATAATTGAGAACAGATCAAAAGTCGAAATTTTTTTTGAAAAGTAGAATTTATTATATGATTTAGAAGAATTTTAAAATTTTGATCCATCAATTTTGAAATTCTTTTCGTATATGAGAGATAATTTAAGTTCAAATTATTTTCATATGAATGAATTAAGTATGAAAAATCTTTGTTAGTCCTATTTTCTTTGTAACTTCAAAGAAAAAAAAAATCAATTCTCATCGTTATATTAATAGAATTTGACAAAGTTTGCATAAATTACACTCAGAAAATATCGATGTTAATATATAACTTGGCAAGTATTGTAAACTAAAGATCATTGCTCATTTTTTCGCATATATAGCTATTAATCAGTTGACTTGTTTTTAACTTCTATTTGGATTCTATTCATGAATGGAACACTTATATATTTATTAAATTCATTTTGTTAATTATCTTAAAAATAAAGATTATATTCCGATGGTCGAAGCAACTATGAATATTGTATAAATGTTCTATATAAAATATATTGTTTTTTATTGAGCAAATAATCTATAATGGTTAGTAGTACTTTCTTATATGTAATAATATCAATGGTCGAATATTATCATAAAAAAATTGAACGATGCTATTAAAGTTTCTTTGCGTTGCTGTTCAATATTTTTTGTAAGAAAACTCTTTTTCATTTATCCTAATATATCTCGAGAAAGTTTTTTTTTAAAAATGTTTCTAACTTCTTTTTATTGATGAACAAAGTCATCTATAAATATTTTGATAAGTAAATAGTAGAAAAAGTGATTTTTTGCAATTATTGTTAATTTCAATTTCTATCATAATGCAAAATTACGATTGCTTATCCAATAAAGAATAAAGCAAATTTTTTTTGTTAAATAAAGATTAAATAAAATAAGAAGTTTATTTTAGTCACAAGTTAGCAAATGGGATAGAATTGCTACTATGAATAACGGTGACCTATGGCAAAATAATGCTTCCATATCAAATTGACATTTTCTCCGTCAAACAATTATTCATCACGAATCAATAATGAGAAACTGTTCATCAAGCACAAAAATACTTCATTTCTTTTCTTATAATAAAAATAGACAAACACATCATTAAAAAGAGAATAATCTATAAATAATTATTATACTATTGTATTAGATAAATTTTTTTTTTTGACTATGTCAATTTCTCTCTTCTCTTAGTAGACAAGTAAAAAGAAAATATTCTTGTTTATATTCAATTTCATATGCATTTCTTCGTCTTTCAATTTATTATCTTCTTCCTTCACTCTCACTGCTACTATTCTTGTTGTCTAAACTATAAATAAGAGATCAATAAATGAGCTTCATATTCTGTATTCTTTTCATTTTCTTTTTTTATGTACAAATTAATATTTAGATTTAAGCAATTAATCCAATAACATTAGCAAATAGGTAAAACATTCAGATTGAGTTTCCTACGAAAATGATGTGTGTATGATATTTTTCTGTTAAAAAAGACGTTTGTTGATCTTTATCCACAATCATCATTTCAACTCTATGTAATTGCTTGTATACTAATGAGACAGATCTATTCAGTAGATATTTTACTCAGATAATCATTCTATGAGAATTTTAATAATATCATAAAGATATAGAATTCAGTATCAAATTCAAACTCCGACATTCGTATTCGATGGCTATATCAATCAAACTCTATTATTCAATGCAACTGCAATTTTAATCATTTTCTATTCCTTTCCTCTCTTTGACATCCATCATTTTCATTGTTGAAGTTTAGCTCAAACCAATTGGTTCTCCGTATGCGATTCATCATGGTTGTCTAAGTCTTTGTCTTCATTTAATCCTTCAACACAATAGCCTCATATTACTACATATACTTGACATTTTTTTTGGTAATAAATGCTGAAATAATACTTGTCTTATTTTGTACGAATGAATAACTACATTTCTTTCTTTTTTTTTAGTGACATGATACACGGGAAGAATGATTAGAAGTGTTACTTTATCTTTTGACTTTTATAAAACATTTGAGCAGCTAAAAACAAAATCTAAATCGATCAGAGTCCATCTAGCTTTCATTCTAATATCATGATGGTTTTAGTAGGATTGTATTAGGATAATAGATTTAGCAATAGTTCAGGAAAGATTTGAAAATAATCTAAAATATATACAACAGACGATCTCTGCAAATAACAATTCAATCTTTCACATAAAACAATAGTTTGACTTGAATGAGCGAGATATAGGCTTTAACTTCTTTCGAAGATCTTTTGTGTCATCTTTTACAATAAGTTATTCTAATAATAATGTATAGCAATATTTGTTAAGGAATGATCAACGTATTCTGAGGAAAAACATAGCTAACATAAATTGATAGTAGATAATACTTATAATATTTCTATTCATTCCCACCAAACAAGGAAATATTAAAGATAGTCCAAGCGAATATGTCTGCATTGACTCTTATATCTTTAAAAATGATAATGGAATAAGTAAATAATGGATATGAAAAATATCCGTATGACCAGTGGATAGTCTAAACGATTGCAAGAAGTATCACACATAGATGATGAAACTAAAGACTCACTATAGTATGGCTACATTAGAACAAAGACTTGAGATAACGCGAGTAAATAACTATGTACGATTTATTTTGAATTATTCGTTAGTTGTGGTCAAAATTGTAAGAATGAAATATTCAGATATAAGACCGAGTCTGATAAATAACGAATGAAGTTGACGTTTGCTTTCGTATAATGTATGAGAATAGTACTTCAAAATTACATATTCCAAAACAATATCAATGGCTCTAGTGTGTCTAGAAGTTTTCATATTATTGGAAGGAAATAGGAAACATCATACGAACCTCAAAATAAGACCATT